AAAAAAAAACCCCGTAAGGGAAAAAAAGAAGAAAAAACTCTTCAATTATTGGTTTGTAATATATTGTGCTCTTTAGGAACTTCCTGGGTCATCAGTCATTAGGGCTTTGGCGACATCCCTCCGCAAACCAGGGATATGGACTCTTCCACAGGTTTATGTGAAGGCTGGCTCTACATTATTGGTAAGGGAGGCATTGCCAATCTTTGTGCCCCTTCATATAATATAGTTGATAATATCATCTTTTCTGATAAAAAGAATCCATGCGTGTCTCCAGGATATTATTCAAGCAAAACCTTCCAGGCTACCAATATCCTCACAGGAACTGTTCAGTATCCTTGATGATGCTAGTGAGAGAACATTCTTATGTGCTGGCACAGCTGAGTCCATGCAGAAGTATGTCTTTGAGGGGGAAGCTGCAAAAAATGGCCTTGAGTTGAGGAACTTAGTTGCTTGCACCAGCTTCCTTTTCGAATATCAGCTGGTATTGTTCCATTACATTTGCCCCTCTTTATATGGTGGCTTGTTTATTTTGTTTTAGCTGCCAGCCTATTATGTGGACACACCACTCTGAACTTTTATATATTTGGAAGGTTTTCTTCTTAAAGGACCACCGCATGTGGAAAAGGATTCATGTAACCACATATATTTCCATTGGGACTAAGGCTTAGTGCATGTTTGGGAAGTCATTAAATTAAAGTATGAGAGATTATAATCTGTGGATCGCACGGAATATGTGAATAATAAGTGGGTGGTAGTTGTGGATCCTATCCTATGAATGTTTGGATAAAAAGTATATTTGACCAGTTAATCACTTTTCCAAACGAAGCTACAAGTTTTTTGTTGTACATGCTGCTGTTGTACAGTTGGATGTGAAGCAAGAGGAGGAACATATAAATATGCCATTTTTTTGTTCACTGACCTCTTAGCTCACCTCTTGTCCTTATGGTAACTTATTGAATGCTCCCCATTAATTTGTTATGCTTATGTGATCAGGTGAAAGCATGGATTGCCGACAAAGATGCAGAGGCTTTGAGATGTCAGAAACTGCTTGTGGCGGAGGAAGAAGCTGCACAGAAAAGGTGTGTGCTATTTATCGATATAAAAATCCACAGCGATATTAAGCTATATAATAAATGTTTCGTGTTTTCCCTTGGGAGTAAATGATGTTTTGTTTATGAAAAAAAAAACATTAATCATACACATGCATTTTGCTATCAATTTACATGGTAGATTTTGTCACTTGGGTGGACTAATTAATCTCCCGAACCACCTGGGCATACTTTTTGAAAGTGTTCCTGTTATACTGTTTTTCATGCTTGATTCTATTGGAAATCGAAGTTTTCCCTATTAATGCTATCATTTATCAGGCAAGCTGAACTGTTGGAGAGGAAAAAACAGAAAAAGCTTCATCAGAAGGAACAAAAGGCGAGGGAGCAATTGAATGAGTGCAAGGCGGAGCTGAATATAACTATTGATGCACTAGCGCAGCATCTTTTGGCCGAAGCATCTGGCTCTCCATCTCCATCTGATTTCAGTCCAAATTCTCCAAATTTGCCAGCAAACATTGCATCTTGCCCTGAACACATTCAGTTTCCTAGCAAAGAAATAGATGAGGATATTGAAGCTCAGATTGATTTCGACAGTGAACATATTGACCAGGACAATTTCCGGACACATGAACCCCGGACAATGGTAGCAAATGGCCGCCGGCATTTAGTGACCAATCGCTGGCAGGTACCAAATTCTCAAAGGTGTGGCCAAAATGGCATTCATGTTAGTCAAAATCTTCAAGCTTCAAAGTCCGAATCTGTACAAAAGATTGGTCCTTCCAGAGACCAGGGGATTCTACTTAATGGCGGCAAAATTTGGACCAAGAAATGTAAAGCAGAGAATGGAAGGGAGAGCTGGAGACGCAGAGTGCAAAGAGAGTCTGGCAACCAAACAGAAGGGAATAGATGCGAGGTGATGATCGGTTCTATTTCTGTCACGCTGAGAAATTCTCTCACACAGAAACAGGATGCTCATCCGGATAAAGCAACCGATGCCATGCTTAAGAACGGTAATTCTGAAAAGCCAATTAAATCTGATGGCGTTCAGTTTGGTATGAACCGAGTGGCTGCCAAGCTTTGGATGCCTGTGAGTCGGCTTGAAACTAGAGGTCCCTTGCCATTTGAAAGAGGCAACAAAGATTCTGAAGACGGGCTTTTATTGGAAAAGGTTTATGATCGAACTGCATCCAGCGAAAGATGTGTACAATCATGTTCCATGGAGGATAATGATTATGGCAATAGTGGGAAGAACTGCCATGTGTTTTCAGATGCTCAGCCAGGATCTTCGGTCTTCTCCAGTACTGATGCAAAAGAGTTTCTTGCACAGAGTATGTTTATAAACTGTCCTTTTGGTCTTCAACTTTACTATTTACAGCAATACTGGCTAAGCTTAAATAGTTTAATCAAAGTTTAAAATTAAATATTTTGGTTATAGATGAAATTAGTAATTTATTTTGACGGTTAGCTAATTGCTGCTTTGAAACTTGTAACTGTTTTAACAAAATGAAATACTAAGTAACAAATCCAAACGCTTTTTGAAAATATGAAGTTACTTTTAATCTTTTAACTTTCTCTTAAGCTTAGCCAAACATGCTCCATTCATCTCTTACACTTAAATAAACTTCGGTTGGTTTTAATTGATGCAGGATGGAAGGAAGCTATCTCAGCTGATCATGTGAGATTGGTCCTATCCTCAGAGCTCGAATTTCCCAGCTGCCCTGATGTCCAAGATGACTATTCAATTACCGCTCTGGGGTCAGATATTAAAGAATGCAGCTTTCTCGGCAATGCCGAGAACCGGCCCATTTTGTCAACCAGTGGAAATGTTCAAGTTAAGGTTAGAACAAAGGCAGACAAGAGTTTGAAGGTAAAGTACATTCCAAAACAAAAAGCCATTGCCTAGGTTAGAGGAGAGTAGTAGGCTCGTTGTACCCAGATTCTGCAGTTAAATGGATTGCCATTACATTACACCCGAAGCAGAGGTTCCAATTTTACGAGTGCACTTCTGTCTGAAAATTGAAGGGAATTTTTTCGACGATGTCGATCCGCTTTTTTTTTTGTTTTACTTGGAGGGAGAAGTAGAGTATTATTATACACCCTTGTGTTGCTTGAGCATTTTGGATAGGGTTTTTCCTTCTCTCTATATATCCCTGTAATAAATTGGTCTTGTACTGTTACTGCTGATCTCCATTTTGGTTTTTATTACTTAACGTTTTGCCAGACTATGTTTGAATATACGATTCGATCTAAAGGGTGATATTTGCTAGCATAAACTATCACCATCATAGTATAATAATCATTTTCTTCGCCTTTAAATATGATTATTTTTTTTCTATTTCTTTCAGGGCTACTGAGGTAAGTACTCGATCGTAAACTTCATGACATCGAGGGATTAGTCGAGGTGCGCGCAAGTTGATCAGAATATTCACGGTTATTAAAAAAAAAAAATTATATATATATATATATATTGATTATTTTTCACTGTTGATGCTATTATCCCTCGCTTATTAACCCTTGTTTTACAGGACAATTATTTAACCTGCATAGCATTCAGTTTTTCTTTTACAAAATATGGAGGAAATTTCTTGAGGATTGATAAGCTGACTGGTTAAAAAATAAATAGATATTGTCGACAAATAATTGAGGGAAAAAAAGGCGTGCTGCTGGCTGCACCAATTTTATCGATCTGAGGGGAAAGAGTTGGAAGGCAAGAAGGAAGAAAACGAAGACTTGGGGAAATTTTCATCCTTGAAAAACGTGTTCTTGCACCAATTTACTCCACGTCCAGCCTACCCCACCCTGCCCTACTCCTCCATCCCTCTTTCAGTTCGGTCATTGGCGGACCAAAAATCTCCGGTCACCTAAAGCTTCAATTTAGGTAAAAAAATACAATTAAGGTCATGTTCGATACAGATTCTTTAAAATTTATTTTTCTCCAAACTCGTATTTAATTTTACACGTAAATTTAAAAGATTTCATTACTTTTTAACCATACACATTCTAAAAACATGACTTTTTGCAAATTCTGTTCTCAAAAATGAACTCAAACAAGGTCTAAATTGCTTGGGTTGAGTATAGAGAATATATAAAGAAATTTCTTGAATACTTTGGTGGTGTGGGTTGCTTTCGATTACTATTTGACCTTACACAGAAAAATCTATGTGTTTTCCAATAATCCTACTCTCTTAAAAGAGGGAGTTTGAGGATTACTATTCATTTGTGCTTTCTCCTCACATATCATTGTTCCATGTGGACAAAAAAAAAATTGCAAGCCACAATTGTTGACTTTGAAAAAAAAAAAAGATCGCACTCCAGCGCACCAGGGAGACACGGGCGTGTCTCCGTGCAGACATATAAAAAATAAATAAATAAAAATTCTCCCGGAGTGTCTCCGTGTCTCTGTGGAGACACGGAGAAGACACTGTGTCTCCTTGCCACGGAGACACGGCCGTGTATCTGTATCTCACAGAGACACGAGTGTTTACGTGCAGACATAAATAAAAAAATAAAAATTCTTCGATCGTGGAGACACAGAGATGGAGACACGGGTGTCTACGTGCAGACATTAAAAAAAAAAAAAGTGCTAACAATAACATTTTCACTGGCCTAAAATTGTTCGAAACAATAACATTTTCATTAGCCTAAAATGGTCAACGTTTGAAGAAAATGACATAATTTTTGCATACAACCTAAAATTGTCCGAAACAATAACATTTTCACTAGGTCTCCGCTTCGGCTTCGCGGTGACGTATAAGAGATTTTGGACGTTTGAGTTCGTTTGCTAAGTCAAAAAGGCACTTAATGTTTCTTACTTCATTATTTTCAATATTTATTTATTTTGCTTTGTAGCGCACCCCCATTAAGAGACTTCCCTAGTAGGTGTCTTTACAAAATTCTAACTTTTACTCTTCCAAACATTTGAAGATGATAAGCATGCTGTGAGAAAAAATAAAAAAAAAATCTTGGATGGAAACAAGACTGTGTTGCATAAAATATGTTAATACCACAGATTTCTTAATAGATGGATAAATTATTTTGGAGCTAGAAACTATATCACGCATCTTCGTGTCTCTATGGAGACACGACATGGAGCAAATTCTCCTCTCAACAGCTTGCCAATCAGTCTTAATGCATTCCTTCTGTTTTATGGAATAGAATTAGGGATGGCAAAGGGGCGGGACGAGGCCCCCGCCCCGCTAAGCTAAAAAATTCCCCGCCTCGTCCCCGTCACATTACCCGTTTAAGGCGGGGCGAGGTCCTTGTCCCATTTACTACCCGTTAAAAAAATTTTTTTTTTATAATTTATTTTTATTACTCATATTCATTATAATTAGACTAATAATATTAGATGTTGTTTTCTATTAGAACTAATGAAAAAATTCATTTAAAATATTGAATTCTAAAAAACCGATGTTGACAACATCGGTTCATTAATTTTAATTGCTATTTTCTATTAGAACTAATGAAAATTTTCATTTAAAGTATTGAATTCTAAATTTAACGGGACGAGGCTGGGCCCCCGTTACCCGTACCCGCCCCGGAAAAAAATTCCCCATTCCATCCCTGTCCCGAATATCCGATTAAGAGGGTTATCCCGGCCCCGTTAGGGGCAGGGCCCCTCGAGTATCGAGTTTGTCGAATTTTTTTGCCATCTTTAAATAGAATGAGATGTCTTTCATTATTGAATTATGATGAAGACAAAGAATGCTGCTTCAATTATAACTCAAATGGTCTCATATGATGTCATTTTGTTAATCACACTGAGCTTGAAGTCATAATTTGATAGCCTGAATAATCCTACCACGTGCCTATTTGATGACAATATTTAGAAAGTTATAAATTTTCTTTATCATTTGTCTTTTACAATTATAATACATCTACAAATATCCTTATTATGCTGTACTTGACGAGCATTTGTTGTTGAGTAGTTGACACAATTTCATTCTATTGGTTTCTAACTTTCTAACTTATAGTGCTACTCCTTCCCTCCGACCAGATCTTAGTCTTTCTCAAGGTCGGATTGGTGGCTCATTTCTAGAGCTTCTCCGTGTTTAGTTTTTTCAAATTCGATACTCAAGCTTCCAAGGATCTTTCGCTAGAAGGATAAGTGACTTAAAACCTTAATGTGTAATTTTGGTGGATTATATTTGCAGCGATTTAAACTGGTTTAAGTTTTCTTCTGGATATAGCATCCATTTTGTTAAACAATCATTTTATTTGTTAGCATAAACGGATTTCATATGTGTAGTCCCCCTAAAGTTTCTTCACATTATTATCTTCTTTAAACTAAGTCAGATTTCTACTATATGCAAGTATTTTTATATGATTTACTGAAATATATGTAAGATGTCTGTCTTTCAATCTCATACATGGTCTATACACTATTCTCAGTCTTTAACTAATTTCTATGAGTTGACAAAGAAATTAGTATTATTTGCAGCTATTGAAATCATTTCCCATTTTCATGTTTTGCTTCTTTAAAATAGAACTTTTGCTGGTTGTGATAAACACATAACTCAAATATTTCAGTAACATGTATAATTCTTATTCTTGATTTAGAGGCTACTGCAGGCATTAATAAATGTTCGGAGAAAATAACTAAAGCTAACAAGACGAATGGACACAACAAGCACAGAAAGAAGACGAAATACTATATCCGACAAAATGTACTGTATTTACCTAGCCGATGGGTTAATACCATAACATCATTATCTACATGCGACTTGGTATTGGTTAATAGTCATACGCTAGTTTTAGTATATCATCTTGATGAGACTTTTTGCTTGTTGTTTCAAACATTAAGGGCATGTTCTCTTTACTGTTTTCAGGTCATTTTCAATTTTCAATTTTCGAAAACACGTTTACTTACCTATTTTCAAAAACGAGTTTAAAATTTACAAAGAAAACGGAAAACGCTAAAAAAGTCATTTTGACTGTTTTCAGTTAAAACCAAGTCAAAACTTTATTTTTTAATCTTTGAAAATAAATTTTCAAAATGACAAAAAGAACGCATTTTCAACAATCTCAAAATGGACACTCAAAACACAAAACTCAAAATAAATTCAAAACACAAAACAGAAAGTAGAAACACGAAGAGAACACCACCTAAGATTTTGAACTTTTTTGTATAGAAAAAATATAATTGAATATCAACACGTTTAAGTGTTTAACGTGGTAACATTCCCTACAAAATAACAAATCCCGTGCAATACATGGGCAAAAACTAGTACTTAAAAAAGGAGAATGATATTTGGACGCAATGGATATATGGGTTTTGAAGAATCAATTAATCTCAGAATATTTTATTTAGAGATGATGATTTTTGGGTCTTGAATAATCAATTAATAAGAGATTTATTGATTTATTTATTTTTTGTGAAGGGGGGTGGGGGGGATTATTGATATCAGGGTCTGAAACATATTTTCGATGAACACGCTACAAATTCAAAAATGAAAAGTGTGTACAAGAATAACACGTCACTTCCGGTCACCAGATCCTAGGATAGTTACCTCCAAAATATAGACCCCAAGGATATTCGTCTTTAATCCTTGATGTTCGGGTTTATCTTCGTGGATCCACGATGCATATATAATGGTGTCATTATATCTTGGAAACATATTTGTTTCCAGATTGCATCACCGGTTTTTTTTTGGGGAGGGGGGGGGGGGGGGGGATTATTGATATCAGGGTCTTCAACAATCAATTAATCTTGATAGTTTAGTTAGTGGTTTATTTAATTTATTTATTAAAATAGTAAATGCATAGGCAATAATATTTATAAACAAAATTCATTGAAGATTACTTTTGAACTTAACCCTATATTCATTAGATATCAATGCCATGCGTAATAGAAGTTTTTCTATTTGCTTGCCACCTAGATTGCAACCCATAAAATACGTTATAAATGCTCTTACTAGTTAAACTAGAAAATTGATATTACTAAGAAGTTTTCTCCATTATATAAGGGGTCATTTTGAAAATCTTGTCCAAAATATAGTAAATATTTATTTCATAGTAATGATATTTGTACATAATGATAACATGGAAGATTGAGAGAAAAAAAACTTAGTAAGTTCAAAGCAACACTCTTGAGTCATGATGTCAATCGCGATGGCATATGCGATGTTTTTAGAGATGATATCAAATAATACACATACATTTATCATAATATACATAAACGATTAAGCAATTTTAAAAAAAAAAATTCTTACGCATTCAAATACGATATTTGTTTTTGGCTATATTATATATAAATAGTTGTATATATGGACAACAAAGTTAAAAAGGTTATTTTCAAAATAAGCCCTTGTTTGAGCTCCACCATTTGAAAAAAAATTGACTTTGAAATAGTGTT